GTAAAATGGAATATTTTCAAATAAAATATGAAATACATGAACCAATTGTTCCTAAAACCAGTTAAATTGTATAGCTTTCAAAAGACCTAACAACTATAGGTCATCATAACTTTGTGCACTATAATCTCTAAACAGTGTCATATCATGCCTAAAATCTACAGCAGAACTTATTTCAATCATCTTTAGGATCTTGTACAACACAAACAAAAGAAATATCTGATTCTGAGTTCATGGTTTCCAGTCTGTTTGGATATGCCAATATATTCACGGGTGTGAAGCTGATTGTTGCACCATTCTTCCAGGCTGCTCTGTTGGNCTATATTAATGTATGACATACCTTCAGTCTCGCAGTCCTCAGATTATGAATTTGTTGTCATCTAGCTCTCATAAGATCCATGCTTTAAGAACAATTCTATATCCTAAATACAATTAAACTGTTAGTTTTGGTCAAGCATCCCATACAAAACCACAGGAATCTTAGTTAACCTAATTACATGCCTGTAAAAACCTGCTGAGGTTTATGAATTTAGATGAATCAATAGCTAATTAATGAGGTTCTGCTGTCCCTTCTCTTTCCATCTTACTTCACTGTTGGTTACAGGATCCAGATGCCAGTTTTGATGTCAATGGTAATGATATTGACCCCATGCCTCGGTATGATGCCAGCAATGAAAACAAGTAAGTCCATTGTATAGTTACAGAAGGTAGATGTTAAGTCTGTTGGTTTTAAATGAAAATGTGCTTATGGGTAAATTAAGTTATATATACTTTATTTTTAGAATGATATGCTTAATCTACAGAATGAATTGCCTGAGAAGATGTTAAATAACTTAAAGATGAAAACATTAAAATATTTATTTTCAGCATAACTCCCCTGGCAATATTTTTTTTTAATTTTTGCTAATGATTTTAAAGATTATCCAATGGTAGAACCTCCACGGGTAGAAGAACATTTACATCTTCCCATTAAATTTATTCTGAAAAATCAGGGACCTTTCTGAGCAGATTTGCATAGTGAGTTATAGAGAGAAAATAGGATTATAAAAATTGCATCTTACTGCTTCTCTGTATGGTTGCCACTTTTCCACCAGTCACAAAGAATTACTTTTCAAAAGGTTTGTAATATTCCTGTTATGAAGTATGCCTGAATAGAAAAGTTGTCAAACAAATAAATGGTGACAGCATTTGGATTGGTGGGTTATCAGCCAAACAGGTAGAATGAAAACTATCTCAGAAATAGAACTCTGATCTTAACATTTTTAATAGATTCTTTCACTAAACTGCTTCATATAGGCTGAGATGAGAATCTGTATTACTTTCTGAAGGGTCAGTTGTTACTTTTTGTTAGGATGAATATTTCCCTCCTGTTTTTTGTACATATTTATATATTCACATGCAAAAAGATGGTTGGTTTATCAGGCTTTTGCCAGAATTGTTGTTCAAAAATGAAGCAATAAAACCTACTGCAAATAATCTTATCATGATGACAGTTCTGAAGAGCCAGAATAATATTATCATTTAGGATTTTGTGCTGATGTAGCTGCTTCATATATGAATATAAGCTTATGTCATAAAATTTGAGAGTTGGATCATAAATCATCAAAATATTGATGGATGACCAATATGTGTATTTTTGTGTTGTATTATCTCAGTTTAGCTAACTTAATTTACGTGGAGATAGACATGACTTAAATAGTAGACTAATCATTCTTTCTCATTGTAATATTGAGCAACAAATTGTATCAGTTTCCTGTTGTGATGAATGAAAACTTCTAAAAATACTGTTGAACTGGCAATAAGGAAATTCACATTTAGGTTTTCTTCACTCTCTCCCCAACCTAATTCACAAGTTCTTTTATGGATAAAGTAGCAAGAGGAAACACAATTTGTGCTATTTTGGACAAAAGGTGGAACATAAGTTGCATGCCTACATGCAGATAATTTATAATGACTGGAACCATGTTTAGAAAATGATCACATTCTATATCTATTTCTGTAAGATTAGTATTTAGTATGATTTCTAGCAAGTTTTAGCTGCCTGTTGCAAGACATCAGCATCAGAAATATTTCTTTATTCTTGAAATATCCCAACCACAACTTATTTTGATAATGAACACATGTTGGCTTCCAGGAAAGCAATGATGGATGACCACTGCAATAAGAATTGCTGGCGAACTAATCAACTTCCTTGAAGTTCTCCCCATATGGAGGAGAGGACTAGGACCACCAACAAATTTCTTCCATACAGAGTTTGCCTACACAGTGATCACAAAATAGCAATCTCTGAAAGGTTTGAGAACTCTGGAAGTCATTTGAAAATTAACTTGCCTAAGTCATGGTTCAGCACTTTCAAAACAGATCCTGTGCTCAGCTGCTTTATCTCTTACCTACTTAGGAATTTGCTTGTTATTGATTTATTGAATATTAAGAACCTTCTGAAGGACAAGTTTCATCATGCAGGAATAATTTCTTTTTATCTTGGATGAATAAAGTTTGTATAAGTTTAAGGATTAAAAATATATATTTTGGAAAACAAGAGGAGCACTGGAATGGTGACTTTGAAGGTTAAAGAGTAAATAAAAGGGCTAGATGCACTTGAAATAATATTTTATGAAGTGCTTAAAATTTTGTAAAAGACTGTGAAAAATTTGAAATTAACTATAAGAAATCCCCCTTGGGGAAAGTTTTGCTAATCAGGAGATAAACATAACAAGGGACTTTGGGGGTTGATCAAAGGAAACCAGAGAAAACTAAGGATTACAATTGGAGGAGAAGAGAGACCCATGGATACAACGGAGCAGTACTATTTGTCTATAGAAGACATTAAGGCTGTTTGGAAACAATAAGCTCAAAAATTACTTACAAGACTGTCTGATAATATACGCATGGATTTAACAGAGGATATAGAAGAAGAAACAACCAAAAGACAGAAGAACACAAAAAGGATCAATAAGTAAATCAAAAGCTCCTTTAAACAAATTTAATTCATTAGAATAGGATCTTCAAACAGAACTGAAAAAGCAAAAGCTGTCAGAGCTCTCCTTATCTGTCAGGGATGAACTACTAAATAAGAGTCGGGTCCTTCNGTTTTGCATCAAATTGAATGGAGGGAGGGAGGAAAGTGTCAGAGTACCAAGTAACACCCCTAACAAAAGAAGATTCCAAGGCTTGAGTTTCCTCAAAGTTCCATTTTATTAGAGATGTCCCATTGGCACATCTGGGAAAACCCAAATCTGAAAGCTTCCAGGTTTTCCCCACCCAAATGAAAGTCCCTGCCCAGCATCCACATGTCCATCACATGGCCCAATCAGGTACCATCCCAACTGGAGATACCTCCCAGTCACACCACTCTAGGTGCAGGGAAAGTGTCCTTGACTCTCTGAGAAAGGAATGTTATTTTGACTATACTTCCCATACTCCATATAATCCCCCCTCCCAGTTTCCCATATCATTAAATGTGGCAGGCCTGAAGGGGCAATGCAAAAGATTGCTTCCAGATGGATGGACGGAAGGAAGGAAGGAAGGAGGGAAGGAAGGAAGGTGTTCAGTACCCCATGGTTTAATATCTTAAGTAATCATGGATTTAGCAATGGCCTCACCTAATCTGTCTCTAAGAACCTTCACAACTATGGTCTTAATTGTTGATCTCACAAAATGCATGATAACTGTATTCCTTTAAACTATTTTCCCTCTAAATCAGAACTGAAAACAATTAGCCGCCTTACCCCCTATGTAAGTGTTTTTTTTAAGGAACAGGGAGATTTCATGGAAAGAGAAATCAGAGAAACAATTCATTTAGCTAGCCCATTTTTAATTTGGCAAACAATTAATACAATACAATTACACATACATTATTCAGAGACATTTTCAACAACATTAAGTAAATAAATGTATTGATTGTGTGAAGTTGTAGAGAGAAAAGAAAGAATTGCCTAAAGGTGCCTATTGGCCACCTTTACACATTTCAAAATACTAGCATATTCTACTGTACTATATAGAGCTGTGAGTGGAAGAATGAAAGTGGATAGGAAAACAAGAATGAAGGAACTCTGAGAACTCTTGTAGCTAGTATGTGTTGCTATGATACTAGTTCTAAGAATTTATTTTTTTCCTTTTCCTGCTTATTCCCCTTGAGTCCAGGGAAGCTGAAACAAAGCACGACCACCGAGAGCCTCGATGGGATACTCATTAAAAGGAGCCACTTTCTCTGCAGGGTTAAGTGATAGGGTGGGGATAATAAAAGCACAGTTGTCTGTTCATTACTTTGTAACTGAGCACCATACAAAATAAAATACAAATGGTTCAATTTTCATTTATCCTAAAGTAATCTTCAATAACTTTTGCTGTTATAGTCCTCTTCAATTCAACAAACTATTTAAGCTGAAGTTTTACACAGAAATTATTTTGGTTACAGATTCATCTCTTGCTGCTGCTGCACTAAACACGCCAAAAGCTTTTTTCCTTCCTTTTGCAAATATAAGAGAATTTAAATAAGATTTTATGTAACTATTTCATAGATGATGTAGTACATAACTATCCATACTCTCCCATTTATACCACACATAAGCATTTGTCCATGAGGTTGTGTCCATGTGTGTACGTGTTCCCATGCTATTTTGTACAGGCATGGTCTACTTTTGCCATGTTGAATACTGAAAAATTCAAATGCATTCCCAGAAGGGTAAGGAATACTCAGAAAAGACCTTTATAACTGTTGGGATGATTTCTAGGAATGTATAACTATTTATCCATATAAAAAGGATTCTCAAAAGAATTAATGAGTTTGAGTCATTTTCATTTCATTTGTCATTCATTAAAGTTACCTTGCTCTTTGTTCATTAGGAGATTAATTTTTCAATCTCCTGTTTAATAAATTAGTATAGTTAAATATTGATAATTTATTTGATTATGCTAATGAAAAGGTTAATATTTATTTACCTTGCATTTGTGAACTAATCACTTACATACAATCTTTGTTTTGTTCCCTCCCTTTTTTCTAGCATTGCAGTGATAATACACATCTTTGTCAGTCAGATATGAATATTGTTGGTGCCTGGAGGAGAGGCTACACTGGAAAGAATATTGTGATCACCATTTTGGACGATGGCATTGAGAGAAACCATCCAGACTTGATGCAGAATTATGTGAGTGTACATGTTGCTTAAGACAGCAGAACCTGTTCCTAATTAATAATACACTGCCTCCAATCCATGATCCAAAGGCAGTAATAAAACACGAAACATGCCTGTGTATTTATACAAAACTAGCCGATAACCCAGCATTGCCCGGGTTTTATTTATAGGGGGAAAATGTCTAGACCAAACATAATTTCTAATTTCTAATGGATTTTTCCCTTTACTGGAGGGAGTCCACTTGTGGAGTACTTTGAAGCCGTTATCATGGCGATTCCACTGCACTGTACAATAGAAGCCATTTACAGCAGTACAGTAGAAGCCATTTTAAGGCCCTACAGGCTGTACCTTAAAAGAACATACACCCCAAGGGGTGTTAGGGGTATCTTACCCCCCACAGTATTTTTTTCAGAGAGTAAGTAATATGTGTACCAAATTTGGTTGAAATTACTCGAGGGGTTTCAGAGTTGTGCTGGAACACACACACACACACACACATACTGTATATGAATGATNTGATAAGACAAAAGGGATGCTTTTCACACATATTAAAGCTCCTTCAGATGCTGCAGAAGTTTTGTTTCTCATTCAAATCATTTATTACAGACATAACAGATCACACTCAGCATTTGGGGGGGGGCATAGTTATAATAATCAGTTGCTAATTTCAGGAGAACAATAGTAATTTCTCTAGGATAACTTCTTAATTGCCAATACAGCTAATAGATCTATGTGCTGTTGAATGCACCCAAATGTCATAAACAGGCTCTGGATTCTTCTACCTTTGAAACAACCTACCACCCCACTGATGTTATTTAAGATGAGAGCCTATCTAGCTTTGTTTGCTTTTTTGAATCTTTTGTTGAGACTTTGTGATGAAAAGATCAAACTTTTATTTGACTCTATATCAGCTGTGTCAAAAAAAACACTTTAAGTCATTCCCAGATGTCTCCAAGGCTCCTGCTGCACCACCTCCAGATTTGGCACAGCGAAGCTGTTGGAGTCGGTTACATTTACTAGATGAAAACACTTCATACCCAGCTGAGCCTGACTTCATTGGTGCTTTTTATTCTCTACCAAGGGATGAACAAGATAATATACTACATAAGTTTGAAAATTTGAGGACAACTCTACTGGTTATGATGGTTACAACACAGTCACTGATAGACCTTGTTTCTCCAATTGCTGATAGAAAATTGCTTACTCTCTCAGTGGAGAATGGAACAGCTGGATGGCGTCCTCCACACTAAAGCTCCCTAGATCATCCTTATGAGTCAGTAAGCAATCCTGGAGGACCAGGATCACCATTATAGCTGATGAGAAGTTTTCTTACACAGTGAGATTTCCAATTATATCTGTAACTACTAAGCAGGGATCAGGAGACAGACCTTTTGCCAATTCAATCATGCAGAGCAAAACCTTGTGCCCAGTGTTATTGATTGGAGTCCCTGTAATTCACACTCGATTGGACTGTGATTATTTCATTTTCTCAGAGCAAGATGCCCAGAAGCAGTTACAGAATTTGCATGACACAAGCCAACCCCTAGAGGAGGCCTGGTTGCTTGCCATTAATTTTTCAGTCCAGCACAACTATCTTACATCATTGGCTTGCCAAAATCAAAATCAAGCTACATAACTGCCCTCAAATGATAATATAATCTTCTTTTTAATCTGGAATCTTCCAGGCTGGTCAGCACCATCAAAAGACCAACCTTTTGTTATCTTTCAGAATTTTTATATCCTTTTCCTCCAGGCTGCATCAGAAGTTGAGATGGATGGGTCAAGTCAGTTTCGGCCACCCCAACTAATGCAGGAAGGAGACTTGAGGATGGTATTGTGTCAGCTTTGTTCAGCTTTATAATTTAAATGTGTTGCACTGCCTTCTTTGAAGCCATGACACAAAGCCTCTTTGCTTTCATCCAACCAAGTTGAAATTTTGCTTTTAATGTTTATATTCTCCCTTTTAAAAAGTATGCTTACTTAAGTACATATATAAATTTTTATCTTCACTTGTTTATATAAATATCCAGCAGCATCAATAATAATCAGTGGACCCTTAATGCAAGCATGGGACACAATAACCATGCTTTACTTCATCAATTTAAGACCTTCTACAAGAATAGTTTCTTCAAGTTGTTCCTGAAGGGAGACAAAGATAAAAAGGACAAGAAATCAACTTGTGGAATTAACTTTGAAATCAACTTAACGGTATTAAAGTTCAAGCTATTTAAAAGTAAATGGAAGAAAGATAAAATGAATTTATTTGACCAGAGTTAAAATTAAGTTCCAAGATGACAGAATATACATTTAACTATCAGAAATAGATTCAATTTATTTCTTATATTTTCATGAGAAAAAAAGATGTGGCTACTTGGTGTTAGTATTACATTAATATATTTTCTTTCTTATATTATTACATTAATATATCTTCTTCCCTATATTATTACATTAATATATCTTCTTAATATATCTTCTTTTACAGCAAGGAAATTTTCATTCATACTTAAGCTCACATATTGTTTTATTATTTCAATATTAATATTTCAATGATAGTTGGAAAAAATGCATATATTCACTTTATAAATCATTTAATTTTACCAATGAATCTGATTTCCATTTATTTATTCCAAATTCTATCCTGACCATTCAGTGTATGGAATTTAATCAAGCTCACAGAACACCAAGCCCTTAACAGTTCAATCATGAGCTACATATATTACGTTCTCTTGCATTCTGTATATCTGAGAACTCACAGTTGATTCTTAGGCTTTTTTNTATATGAATGATGATAGAATCTTTAGAGAAACAAGTGGATTCAAAGGCAGAGGTTGAAATCCAAGAATCCAATCAAACTGTATCTGTAGACCAAGGTGTAATTCATGTAGTACTCTGGGGAAGTTACTATGAAATTATAAATAACTGAACTATAAGCAAGGTCAGGAATGAGCAACCCAGTGAAGTGATCAATTGTTTATATTCTTTGTACACTGAGTTCTTAACTGTTAATATCTCTCTTATTAGCACATACTGTACTTTGTGCAACAATGTCTTGTTTTATAAACTAGTTGACTTCAATTTATTCTCAAGCTTATAAATATTAACATTTCTCTTACCTATCTACTGAATATATCTTAGACTTAAAATACACTTGAAAGTATATTTACTAGAAAGCTATATATATTTCATCATGAATTTATCAATTTACATTTGAGGAGCTAAATCATATGATGCATTAATACGCATTGCCAATGAATATTTCAATTTTACCATTTTGTTTAGATTTTTATTACTAGCATTTTCTGATATAGTTATGATAACTTACGATAACTTCCTGCCTATCAAATTCTCAACTGTAATCTTTATAATGAAGATTCCTCTTAAACTCACATCAATCATGCTATTTTTAGAAAACAGCTTTGGCAGGGTGTTTAGATATTAGGTATAAATCATGGGTTTTAAAACCATAATGGTGGGTTCATATAGCACATTAAGCCACAGGCAAGCTAACCATATCACTACGATAATTTACTACAATGAATGCTTTTGAAATGATTTGACATCAGATTCCTAAAAGTGTCTAGAGAAATGATTGGTTCTGTGAAACTTATGTTTTTACAAGCACTATACCTATAGGTGTATATATCGATAAATAAGAAGAAAGAATAGGAAGAAATAAAATATTATAGATTTAATGTGCCATAGATGCTTGTAATAAAAATTAGGTAACTTATAAGGTTTAAGTCACATTTATGCCACACACCCTTCTAAAGTAACTCATTTCTCCTGGATGTCCTTGAAAACATCCAGTCCTTAGCCAAAAAAAAATATTTCCCAACTCTATTCTAACATATTGAATATTAAAGAATTGTTTTATGCATATAAGATTTTTAGAAATTATATTTATGAGCAAGTTAGAAGTTCTTTCTTGGTATGTGTTCAGTTGAAGAATGGTTGACTTTTGTTACCAGAACGTATTAGTCAGGACACACATAGAATTCAATAAACAACCAGAAATCAGAAACCAGAAGACCTTCTTTAAATCAGTAAGCTCAACTGTGGCTTTGAAGCATATCAGTGGGTTTTTTTCATTGCTCCAATTCTGGGGGTGTTATATAAACAAATAAGGCAGCAACTAGTTTAATTCCTTGAATAGTTACTTCTTTTCCACAATATATATATTAAAAGCTCCTGCTCCCATTCTTTCTTTTTCCCAACCTCCAAGCACAGAAGATAAGTTGCAGTGTTTATTCAATACGCACTCCACCCCATCCCCCACCCCCCGCACACACACCATTCAAATAGGGGAAAATTAAAGCTTCTTGCAACCTAATAAAAATACAATGTAAACTGAATTTCACAGTCGTCTCTTGTTATGAAGGGCACTTTGCAGAAAATAGAAGAGGAGCAGAAAGCACCATGCTTGGGCTACATGGAACTGGCATGTAGACTCAGCTTCCTGACCCAAGTCAAGCCAAGAAAGTTGTATAATTGGTTTATCCAACCCAACTGGATAGCATTCGTGCTTGTTATAGTCAATACACAATGTTGTAACTTCATTTCTATGTATGGAGAATACTAATGAAATTTGAATGATATGTTACAATCTCCAACACTTATCCAAGTAACTGACCAATCAGTTTTATCACTTCATTTAATTCTGCCTATCACAACAATATTGTCTGGCAAAACAAGCATTGCTTTGGGTCTCTTTCCCTCTCTTAGTTTCTTGAATGTGACCTAGCTTCATTCTTGCTTTTTCTAATAGAATTACATATGGCCATGCAAATACTAGCAACGTAACTGATTTTAAATTCAGTTCGTAGCACTTAGAATATAGTCTCTTAGCTCAAGCGTTACTTTTAAAGTTCACATGATTTGAACAAGCAGAAGGTTCTCAGCAGTGAATAAACAAATACCAAGCTGACAGTTAGGGTTAGGGTTTTTCTGTGGTTTGCCAGTCTCCGTGGTAATGTATCTCATCATGCCAGCTTCTTCTGTTGCTTCTGCTTAATAACTAGCTGCTCCTGCAAGTCACAACCTGCCATTGATGAGAGCTCCTTCCCAGAGTAGTCCAAGTTTGCCAATTAACGATGCCAGCCCTTCAGATATCCACAGATCCAATGATCATACATAACAAACCACAGTCTCTCAACAAGCCAAGTCACTGAGCATTCTTCAGTGTCATTCTAAGCCTGTCATCCTACAAAAAGCAAGATGAAAAAGAACAACTTATTTTGTAAGCAGTTCATGAAAATTATTTTTAACTTAGAGCAGGACATTTGCTGCATTGGTTCAGTACAACTCAGGATTTTTACTGATTAATTTAAAAGCTGTTATATTCCCCTCCCTCTTTTCTGCTACTTATTTTTAAAAAGATGGAAGGGGGATATCGAAAGATAAATTAAGCTGATAAAGATAAATTCACTTTAAACTGAATATTCTGACAATATTTAGGAAAAATATTATTTCTCATGGTTTACCCACTGCATACCCTTGACTTCTGTTTTACACAATCCATTCACATTCTAGCATAGAATATGAGAGCATGAAAAAGGTAGCAAAGGGAGAAGAGACAGGATATGATCTATCAGCATAAAAATGTTTTCAATTTCACCCAGTATCAAGGATTTCCAGGGAAGATAAAGTGCATGTGCATCATGACCTAATTTTCATCATTTTTGAAAAGACATCAAAATGCACATGACATCATCATTGTAGTTTTTATTATATCCAGAATTATTTGAACTAAAAAAAATGATATTTTCATAATGTAAGTGATTTTTTTAAAAAGTATGTGTGCACAGAGTTTCAAAGGAGTGCCTCAGTTTGATCAAGCATNCTCTATTAGAAGAACAAATGGAATCTGTAACAAGATGTGAAATATATGCACACCATATAAGTGATACAGCACAAGATATCCTGAATCAAAGTTTTATAGCACTATTAAGCTTCTCAATAAAGGAGAATTTCAAAATTTTGAAAAAAGGCATTTCTCCTATTTACTCTTGCATATTCTTGTAACAGAATAGCAAAATATCTTCAGCTTATTTTATAAAATATCAGGGTCAGTGCCAGAGATGAGAAATATCTCTTTTCACTGATACAGATGATTGGAATACGTGATCCCCCCCCTCTTTTGAAAAAGCATTGGGAAAGATTATATGCATGCTATTTAGTTGGATGTCTTACTGCAAAGAATTGGAACTGTAATTCACACAAAGCCTTTAATTCACTTAGCGGTTGTTACATTATTCTTGCCTATTAAATAACAACAACAAAAATCAGCTGTGTGGAAGCATCATCTGAAGCTATCTATTGCTCTACTCTCTTTATTTTGTCATTAACGACAGTGGACTTTAATGTGTACTTAACTGCTTCACAATGTGTCTTACAGGAAGCTAAGATTGCTTTATTACTACTGAATGTGGAAAAGTATGTGTAGAGAGTTAAAAACAACAGTTTGCTATGTCTGTTTATTCATTGTGCAATTTTAGAGAAATGTGTACATTTTTCTGGTTCCCTTAATTAGACTTGGTCAGTCTATTTACAGTCTATTTGTAAATAAAACATTTTATCTCTTCCTTTTTCTATTTAGCAAAGAAAATGTAACCAGGATTCAGCATGAATGCTGAATTCAAAATAGGGAAATGAATATTTAGAAACTTTAAAATATTAGTATCTAATTATAGAAAGTCTTTATTTGTTCATCATAAGCAACACTTCTTCTTTCAACATACATGCACACTTTTTTCATTTCAAACTTCTTTGAAATAACTTTATTACTATATTCTTAAAAGCTATGGTGGCATATTTTTCATAAACTGTAAATAAAATCTTATTCTTTTTATTGTGAGCTGTTGCTACTTCCAAGGAAGTTATCATCCAAAGCAGCAGGTGGATCAGTAGATGAGCAGAGAAGACAGAAGAAAATAACATATAATCCCCTGAAATTCTTTCAACACAGCTGCACAAACATTGCTGACGTACATGGGATAAATGGCTAATAACACGAACATTTGTGACTTCGTTTTGCCAGCATTCTTTAACTTCCACAGTATAAAAAGCATCACTTTTTAGTGTCTTGTTTAGTGTATAATGTGGGAATATCCTCATTGCAGAAAGAACTTGAAAAATAATCACATCAGCATAAGAAAATATTGATCTTTGCTATTGACTAAGTTGATCACATTATTATGAGCTTTATTTATATTGCCAACAAAATCACTAGTTTTCTGGTTTATCTAATAGGAAATTCTTGCCTCTACAATCTAATCTTTCATCATTACATTCATTTTTACTCTTCATTTTCCTTTCTGATTTCTCACCTGAGGTTTCCTATATTGAAGAGGCTTAAACTCACAAGCAAATTTCAGGGACATAGAGAAATTGAATAAAACTGTATTTTGTTTTGTATTTTTTTTAATTTTCAAAAGACAGTGGAGTGTCAGATATCAAGAGCTGTAGAACTGCAATTGAGGAAAGATTGTGGAAGAAGAAAGAGATATTCAATGTAAATCTCAGGAAAATAATATGAGGGATAGAATACAGTGAGCAGCATTGAAACAACAATAATATCCTGTGAGGAAATTGTTATAAGTGTTTGTATATGTACATTAAAAACAGATTAGAAATCTCTATTGAGAATGTTATTATTATGTTCAGATTTATGGCGGAACACATCTGACAGATTTGATTTTATATTGTTATTATATAAATTATAACTTTCTTGATAATTACAATTCTTTAAAAAAACATAGATAATGTCTTTTCCCAATACTTCAAGAATTAGTTTATTGGTAGTCTATGGTATACTGTGATTTCTTCTAAATTCCTACAACATATAAACAAGCAAAAGGATTATCGGTAATTACTTTGTAAAGTTTGAATATCCTTTTAAATATCCATTTAAATAGCCTTTTGATAGCCTTTGATATTTGAGTTCCTCAGCTTGTTTTATTGAAGTATGTATATTTCACTGTGCAGGCTCAAAGTTTTGATTATGCACATTTGAAATGGACAAAGTTTTATTACTACAAAAAGATTGTATTGATTGTTTCTACATATTTTTCATATAGAAAAAGTGATTTTGTTTACTATTTGGATACATTAATAATGGATGTATAATTCTATATTACATTCATTTTAACTGGTGATGAGGCATAGCTACAAAATGGATATAACTGATTTAATGAGGAAGTGTGCAAATCTTATATACTCCCTATCTTTTCCAGATCTGTTTTTTAAAATGTCATCATTACATTTCAATATACATCTGCTATTTCTTCCATTTATGTTTATGCTAATAAATAAAGGGGGGGGGAGTAAATAAGCAAAATAAATGCAATGAACTAAAATACATTTTAAGACAAAGAAAAATACTACCGTACATAGTATTCAAGGTTTTATCCAAAATCCACCACCAAAGAGAGCAAAAATGGCAGATATGATTCTCCAATTTTTATTTATTAAAAGTTCAAAGAAGAATTATATACCTGCAGCAGATAGTTATTAGATAAGTATATTGTTATAATGTTGCCAGCCAATAATACCTGGGCCAACCTGTCCAGTTCATTATGTCTCTGTGTAGTTCTAAGTTCCTGGGTACTTTGCTTGCACAAAGACTAGCTTTATAAAAAATATTAAAACTGAAGTATATCATGTAGTCAATAAGATATGGCCCTTGATTTCTTTCCAGCCACCAGAATTTTGTTCATGTGCAACAAAAAGATATTAAAACTATTGCACAGCCTTATATCATAAACTAAAGCATTTTTACAGATTATCTATGAGCTTTAATTACCACCTGAACTGCATAAAAGCAATTTCTTAAATTGCTTGATAATGGTTCTTTACCTCATCAATTCCCAGTGTTATGTTCCCAATTCTTATGTTGTGTTTCTGCTACATTTAAGCAGACATTTATGGATGAAACTATTGTCATATATAAATTCTGGTTATATATAAAGATGCTTTACTATAAATCAGTACTGTTCAGTTGTCTTATTTGGCATTAATATGCCTGACCATTAGTCTAGTCTTGATTCCTGAAGAAAGAAAGACTTTTTTCCAAAGAAGTCCTTGAGAAACTCTTATTCTAAGAGCAAAGTAAAATGACTATATCTCACCTTTTCAGAGACCAAACCCAGCTTTTTCCTGCAGAGTTCACACTATCAAAAAAAGTGAGAGGAGCCTTATTCAATGAGGCCTAAAGTGCTTCCAAACTATGCCCAACCTACCTCTGGAATGCATTGGAAGTTATTTGTCTATGGAGACTCTCAGTNTATTGTTCAAGCTGAATTCAACTCTTTTCCCTTGGCCAGGAAACCACTCTCCTTTCTCCCTTATGCTAATGATGCTATAATACTGTCTGTATCCCAAATAGGGCTGCATCCTCCATGCACTAGCCTTCTACCACCAATCTGAAATATAGGAATACATAGGGTTACCCGCAAAATGTATTTAGAAGCTGCAGCTGGCACAGAAAACAGCTGTGTGGACAATTCTTGGGTTCCCTACAGTGGCCAATGTTGCACTTCTGTTCTAAGACCTGCTTCTGGTCAAAAGTCCATCTATGGCTGTGCCCTTGCTCACTGGATATGTGAAGTTAGTCAATATTTTCTGAAAATACTAATATAGACCGTCCATTTATTATTTTCTTAAGCTTGTTTCTTGTGTCAAAGTGAACTTTTAAAAAATTGAATAGATTCATGGATATTTGATTTAGTGTGGATGTATTTTGCCTGTTTGCAAGTACGTTAGGAAAGCTTGCTAATGGCAGTAAAGCTATTGCTGAAGAAGAAAAGGTTCAGGCAAGGACAGCCTGCTGACATCACAAAAGAAAAGAGAAACTGTCTTCTGGCAGGTTTCCAAATCCTTTCAAGGAAACAGGGTTTATAATCTCACACCCTTCTCTACAAATCAAAGCACAGGGCCTGTCTGAGGCAAAAGAGCAAAAGTGTCATTTTTCTCAGTGAGCTCCTATAGGCAGAGTTTTCTATCACCCAGTGTAAATAAAACTTGGAAGCCAAGGCCCATGGGTGAAAAAACAAAGGAGGATTTTCTGCCTATTTTAGGTATGGGAGTCATATTCATGGATTGGAAACTGAGCATGGATTTCTTTCTTTGGGGAGTAGGATCAATTTGGGAATCAATTTCTATGAAAAATGAGGATGCAAGAGAACATGGGGAGGATTGTTTTAACTTTATGAGAGAGAAACAGAGATCCATTTATTTTAATGCTTACCTCCATGGAATAGCCACTATGAAAGATTTCTCTAACTATCGAACTACATCTTCAATNTATCTTTGGATTTGAAGATTCCTGCCGAAATTTACAAAACCAATATATATTGAGTAAACAAAATATTTTTGGAAAGGTATGTACAAATTTCACACAATATATAGCGTACCTTGGAAATGTGATTATCTGTGTCCTGAACACCCATGTTTTTCCTCAGGCTGGGCACCCAGATCATTTTCTAGACAATGCTACACAATATGGACCAGACATATTCTCCCTACAGAATATTATCCTAAAGTCAATAAAACACGTTACTGCATTTTGTAACAGCTGCTGTTTCTGAGTCATCTTCAAGGGGAGCTTCATGCAAAATAAAGCCATGTAAAAGAGAGATGAAGTGAGTCTTCAGTGCTTGCTTCCTGATTTGGGAAAGGATTTGGTATAATAGGCAGCCTGGCAAAAATGATATCGGCATATTGGTGATGTCTAATATCCAATCAATGGATGATTATCCACCATATTTTAATTAAAATGTGGGGGGGGGCTGAGTACTAGAGCATCCACACTGATGTGTACAAAACAAGTATTGATCTTCCACTGCTTTTACTGCCACATTATAGGTCTGAACATGGGATTGTACTGAACTCTGGGTATTGCCATCACCTATCAACACTGCTCCAGATACTTTATATTGCACTTCATGTCCTGGAGCTTCTTATTAAATTAAGGAGTACTCTAGATTAATACCAGAAGAAAGTCTGTGCACGGATCACCTGCTAAATACTTGATGACTAGATAGCCTCAAAGCTGCAGGCTAAGTTGATATAAATGTCAAAAACTTATTGCCCTATCTCATCTTAATTAAAATCCATAATTATCTCTAGGTAGATAGTCTTTATAAGAAATGGTTTATACATTTGTAATGATATTAAATTATTAAATGGTATAATACATATAGTCTATGAAATATGAATAATAATGATAAATCTAATTCAATTAAGCTTTATAAGAAACACAATCTAAAATGTAAAATAGTTAATAAAAACAATATTATAACCAGGAAAAGATCATTCATTTATTGGAGAATAAGTTATGATGGAAGTGGGAAGAACTAATGTATATTCATTCTCTGATGCTATCAGGATAGAATACTCTTTTTACAATATTAAATAAGAAAAATAAATTTAATGTATTAAATAAATAAATAAATAAATATAATAATAATGTCCTTTAGTCCTTTAATTTATTAATTTATTCACTGGTAATTTCATAACCTTTTTGGGATAGCAAGTATATTCATTCTCTGATGCTATCAGAATAGAATATTATTTTTACAAGATTAAATAAGAAAAATAAATTTCTTTTTGGGATAACAAGTATTAACAACAAGTACTTAAAATGGAAGAGTACTATAATCTCTATTTGCTATTTTATAGGATGAATTTAAATTACAAATAAAACATTTTATTCAAATAAAATTTAAAAAAAGGGCTATTACAACTTATTATCTACTTCTAATTTCAATATATTTTAATTTATTTCAAATAGGGCAGAAACAACTTGGGCTCCATTTATGTGTGGGCATCTGGAAATGGTGGAAGAAGTAAGGATCATTGCTCGTGTGATGGCTACACCAATAGCATCTATACCATCTCCATCAGTAGCACAGCTGAAAGTGGAAGGAAACCTTGGTATCTAGAAGAATGTGCATCAACATTAGCTACAACCTACAGCAGCGGAGAATCCTATGACAGGAAAATAGTATGTGGTCTTTTCACCATGATTGAAGTTCAATTGAAAATAAAATTGACAACTTCTTTTTGTAAATATATTCTAGGTTTTATTTATCCTAAAGTTACTTGACATTTTTTTTGTATATTTTAAAGGATTTGCTCCTTTAAAAACCATCTTTTTCATCCTCAACCAAAAACTGATTTGCACAAGAAACAAACACAGAAAATCTTCCAACTGAAGGGAGGGGAAAACACATTTGTTCTCTCTCTCAATCCTAGTTTTCCATCATGAATACAAATTTGTTTAATGTTTTCTCCTTTTCAGTCTCTTGCTGCTAATAAGGAGTTAAGATCGGCTATTTTTCAAAATATATCGTTTCTTCTAATAATCTGGGATATTAGCCATCTCTCCTGGAAACCTTGCTGTTTTCAGATGATTAATTTTAAAGACAAATTCTGAGGTAACTCTTCATTCCAGTAATTATTCTGTTATCATCTGCTTTCTCCTACTTATTCTTCTTTTGATAAATTTTATATATTTGAGGTTTTTTCTATAATTTCTTCAAAAAATGATAAAATAAGGAATAACTCATTCATTTTTCTAGCAAAAAAATATTCCCATGATGAAATTTACCATCTTGAATTCAAGAGTATTTTGGTAATATTGGTTTTAATTGATAATCTACTCTTGTACAATCCTTTAATTCCCATTAAAGTGATATAGTGTAAAACACATCAGTTCAAATATTTCTAGATAAGGTTTTCTTAAACATTCCATGCGGAAGCCATAAATAATTTGGCCTAGGGTCATTTTTGTGTTTCAAATTAATTAAATAAAATAAGACTAAAGACTCCAAGCACTTAAAATGTAATTAATGATTTCTAAAAATGCAAGGATTCCAAAGACAACTTTGAATGACCTTTAGTCACAGATTACAGCATGCTACATGCAAAATGTATAAAAAATATTTTGGCTTCTAGTACTAATAAAGGAGAATAGTTGCAGCTCAGGGTTGAAATAAGGTGTACTTGGGGCTCTCTGAAATTTTCTTCTTGAAGATGTTTCATTACCCAAACTAGATAATGTCATCAGTGCTAATCTAGTGTTCTAGACTAGCTTTGGCTTCTAGTGTTCAAGAAGGGGATAATACCCTATCAAGCTTTATTCAAATTTCTCTGATACAAGAGCAACAATAGCAAAAAACATGATTCTGCTTTATTTGTCTTTATCTCAAAGTTAAACTGCAGTTAAACTATTGGACTGAGTAGCACCATGCCTTTAAACCTGTCCAGTCACCCTATGCTATCTATTTGATAAATGAATTCAAAGTCATGCAAGCAACTGTTGGGGCAGTTTTATTTTAAAGGTTTCTTGAAATCTTGACAGCTTCAAATTGCTACTTAGTGATGGAGTGATAACAGCATCCAGTTTTAATCGTAATTCTGGGTTATCTGGCAGTTGTAATTTACAACTGCATCTGTCTATTATAAATCTACATGCATTTTCAGACAGCCACTTATCTGCCTCAAAGAAATAGCTTCTTCCAAAATGCCCCTTTTCAATTCAGGAACTCAGATTCTTTCAAGGAAGCCTATTAGTTATGAGAAGAATGTGGCTAGTCCCAGGCAATAACAGAATTGACGCCACTGTATAATTTCTCCAGATTATTTGTATAGAACTTGAGATCATACAATTTGTAATATAATGTAATTTGATGATCCTACCCAAATTTCTTGATCTTTGATTTTTTTTCTTCATATGCCACTTCATTTTGCTTCCTCCAATCTGAATCAGTAACAACAGAAACTTCATAGTTTCTGCTAATTGACTGAAAAAGATTTGGAGGGGAAAAAAGCAATTCAGTCATAATCTACAAAACCACATCACCTGGGATAGTCCCGTACCCCCCCCCCCAAAATGGAGGACACTGCTCAAAAGGGTCATATTTATTTTGAGATTTCATTTTACAAGAAAATTTTCATGTTTTGTTTTATACTTAGAACACTTGGANCAGAGACTTTCCTGAAGCCTGGGGAGGATGAAAACTCCCTTCCATTGGGGGGGGGGGTTTCCATGCATGTATCGATGCATTGCATTGTGGGTGTGGGCGGACGCACACAATTTTGGCACGCCTTTACAAAAAGGTTCGCCATCACTGATACAAGGCAAGAGTTCCAGCAGCTTATCACAAAAGCGTTCAAGCACTGGGTCCTTTACCAATGGCAAGAAGGAATCATTTCTGAAGCTTCCCTGATGTCACCTCATTCTTTGATTATGACATCTCTTCAGTGACATCTCCAATTGCTCTTTTCTTGCTGAGTAGGACATATGAAGTAGCAGTGCTACTGTCTGCCTGTTGATTCTGCAATCCATTCCTATCTGAATTAAACTAAGATTAAATGGCCTTTTCAGTGCTGTCTTTCTAAATTTGCCAGCATGATTGATGATTGATTCCATTCCTGTCCAGCATATCAGAATATTTCTATTTTAGCAAGTATTTTAACTAAATAGCAACCTAATACTAATTACAACCTAATACCTAATACCCAAACTGCTCCATGGAACCCATGATGTTGCAATAAATTGACAGGAGCACTGTAGGAATTTTTTTCCTACTAATGAATGTAATTCTTATTAACTTAGTAAATTTACTGGGGCACATACAATTTTAGAACTAATAGGTGCACCACAACCTGAGAATATCTGGAAATCTCTGATTTAGTAATTATTTTTTAAACTTTCCTGGTTAATGTTTCATTGAATTACTATGTAGTGTAGTAAATACTTTTAAGTTTATTTTATGTATTTGCAGATACAATAGATAGAAAGTTGAGAGAAAGAATGGTACATAATGAATAAAAGTCTAAGTGATCAAAGTCCTGCAAATTTTGTGGGTGAATATAAATATGGGAAAGTTTATTTTTACTTTCCTATGTTGTTATGCCAGTGCATTTCCTAACTACACTTTGTATCAGTTCATTTCCTGATTTAATTTGAACTTTTGGTTCTTATTCATAGAGCCTTTAATATCTTGGAAGTAGCTTTCCTAAACAAATAGTGTGCTCAAGATGTTCCTGCTAGTGAAATGAAAGTGAGTGGTTACTAAAGAGAGGACCATCTTCATGGTAACATCTCAGTTATGAAACAAGATATCCGGAGAGACTCATTGGATTCAACCCAGTCTCTTAAGCAACATTCGGAACTGAGAATATTTATTTAGAGAGACTTATTATTTGTTTTATGCTATCACAGTTAAAAGGAAAGTTTGGGGTACTGCTTTTTACTACTGCTATTTTTAATTGGGGGACATATATTGTGAATATTTTATGTTGGTTTCTTATAAGATTATTTGTTGCCAAGTGGACATATAAATGCATTATATCAAATCCAAGGTTTCTTTTTTCCCCCACCAAGGAGTGCGGATGTTAGATGGTGATGTTACAGACATGGTAGAAGCAAAATCATTGAGCCTCAATCCACAACATATACATATCTACAGTGCTAGCTGGGGTCCTGATGATGATGGAAAAACAGTTGATGGACCAGCTTCTTTAACACGCCAGGCCTTTGAGAATGGAGTCAGAACGGTATGTTATACACACATCTCTGCATAAATAATAATAACAATAACAACAACAACAAGAATAATAATAATCATTAGCATTAAAAAGGTAATAGAAGCATATTGATATTAAAAATAAATCACTAATAAATATATGGCAGTAAAGAAAGCTTCTAGGACAGGTTGTCAGGATTGAAATCCAGGATCCAAATAAGGATTCCCCAAAATTACAGACCAACTGAAAATAACAGCAGCAAAAATGCCATCTGCATCAACACAGAGATCCTGGAATCCACCAGCTCTTCTGAAGATCACTGCAACTTTCTTCTTTCCTCTTAATGTGAAAAGCATTTTTCAATTATGATTGGACATATGGGCATGTGCATGATTATTTTGTTTTTTATATGTGTGTGTGTGTGTGTGTGTGTGTGTGTGTGTATATATACATACATACATACATACATACATACATACATACACACACACACACACACACATATATAAAATCATTTTTCAAGATTCATACATACAAACATACATACATACACATGTACATTTACAACAAATAGTCTAGACCAGGGTTATCAAACTCAGCTCCTGGGGGCCAGATCTGGAGTGCTTAGATATGGCTTGCCGGGTCACCCTAGAAACAGCAAAGGACCAACCCGAGGTGCCTTTGCCAGAGAAAACGGCGTTTGGAAGGACTGTGTCCAGTCCTCTCAGGCTCCTTTTTCAGGTGTGAAGGCCTCCTGTCACCTTCTGCCAGTGAAAATGGAGCTTGGAGTGAGTGACATCAAGCAGGCCATGGCCACACTAGCCACACCCACTCCAGCCCCCAAAGTAAAACACAACCCTGATGCAGATCTCAATGAAATTAAGTTTGACACTCCTGGTCTAGAC